GTTTTCTTCACTAGCTTTGTGATGATTTTTACATTTCCTCTTCTGGAGGAAGGAAGATACTCAAGGGGATAATTATCATGAATCTTAGTATTTAACAAAACAGTCCTTAGATGAATCTCTCATCACAGCTTGACATTTGTGATAGGAATTAAGTCCAGATCGTTGACTCAAGTTCAATTTTTCAAGTATATTTTAAGTCCAACTTGCTTTGATGAAGTGGGACGTTCATCACAAGTATGACCTTTGTTTACATCAAACCCGCATAAAAAGGAAGCATGTTCCAAGTGTCCTGTCAATGTGGACTCCAAGAAAATTAAACAACAAGCCACTTGCTTTTTCTTTAGACTTTTTTCATAGTTCATTAAAATCTTCTAAGGTGCCTTAATAATGTTAAGGACAGGCATTATAAAATATTGCACTGTCCTGACTCATTAGGTCTACATCGAAAATAGTGAATACTTGTATCAGCTAAAGTTGAAATTTTATATAGAAATTCTTTATATGAATTAATTCCCACAATAGCTCTATGGAGTCGAATATTATTTTTTCCACTTCACAGATGAGGAAAGTGAGGCTTGGGCTTGTTAAGTAACTGGTTCAGTGTCATATGGCTAGGGTTCAAACTGAGGTCTGGCTAACTGTCCAAGTCTCTGATATTTACCACTGGACCATCCTGCTTCTCATAACCACACAAGTTCAGCAGAATTCATATGTAGAACTTTTTTAAGAGTATTTCACCTTTTATAGATGAAAAAGGAAGGCTGTGGTTATGGCATGAAGACAGGAGAGGCAGGGAGCAGTAACCTGGGGGGAAGGAAGCATTCCAATTTCAGTTTACTTGGAATTTTAAAACTAACACCCTTGGTACAAAGGAGGAATTACTACCTTCCAGGTGCCATAACATATATATCTCCTGGTCATTCTTATTTCTTGTCTCTCTGACTTTTTATAAAACCATAGTAAGAATTGGAAAATAATAATTTTAAAAGTTTCTATTTGGAATGCTTGACAGAAAGCTGGTAGTCTTGGATATGAGTGAGCCTCAGAACTAGAAAAGAGGGTTTTTCCTTTCTTTTTCAGTTCTTTCTTCCACTGCTTATACTTATCATCCATGTCTTGCCTGTTTTTCCTGGTTTCTCTAAGGACCACCTGGGTGTCTAGGGTGGGGGATGAGAGATCCACCTACATCAGAGGAACCCAAAGATCACAGGGTGGACCCTGGGGTCAGAGACACCAAGAAAAGAAGAGGAAAGAGGCAAAAAGGAAGATGGCAAGATTGACAGTGGAAAAGAAAGATGAGACAAGGGTGCTGTTGGCTGCAATGACTCAGAATGAAAACTGATGCCTGAATACATTCGGCTGTTAAATCTGCACTTGCACTGTTGCTTTATATGGTGTGGTCCTGCATTGTGCTCTACTGGCTTCCCAGCAAGAGGCTGAGGCTGGTTCAATGAAGTCCAACTTTTGCTGGACTTGCTTATAGCCTGAGGTCCAGGATTGCCTGTACAGGTCAAAGATTCCCCTTGGGAAAAGCCAGAATAAGCTAGAAACATTAGAAAACATGTTTCCTGTTTAAAGAGGAGATGCTTAATCTTTTTTTAGTCTCTGCTAAGCTCTCCTTCCTTGTAGACTAAATGAATAAGTAACATTGGCACTGGCTCTGGGTAAGGGATGCTAACCTTTCCCTAAGCTAACAGTCAAGGTGATGGTTCTAGCTTTGGGCTATGAATTCTTAGCAGTCTATAAGAAAAGACAAAGATTAAAAAGAAAGAATGACCAGTAAGGAATAGCCCCTCACTCCTACAGCGCACCTCACTCACCTACTCTCTGCAACTCTCCAAGGAGCTAGAAGCACTGATTGGACATCACCATGCATATTTATCCCAGCTTCCTCCTTCTTTGCCTTGAGTGGTCTTTACTTACTCAAGATCAGAGGAAATGAGGCACAGTAATGGGAAGTAATTTCAGGGCTTCGAGTAAAGAAAAGAGAAAACAACCTTGTATTCCTGATTCCCCAGACAGTTTTCTGGAATTAGTTTCTCAGGCATTTCAGCAGTAAGTTTCATCATCCAGTGTGTTTGCTCTCAGTCTGTTCTATGCCATGGTTGTTACTGTCATTATTTTATTATTTATTATGATTATTACTATTATTATTTCCTTTCTGAATGCAACTTTGCCTTTTAGGATAGCCTAAGGCCGAGCAGGAATAATCTTAATTGTTTGTCCTTACCTCTTTCAGCAACACCCTCTCCCACAGCCTAACCAGAAAGAACACCCTCTCCCACAGCCTAACCAGAAAGAAGGAGCTCCATGTCTGAGATCTGTTCCTACCACTATGAAAGTTGGTCCTGGACCTCCAACTGTACAATCCTGCTAAATAACTATCTAATTGTTTTAGACCCTTTACGTTCATTAAGACCCCAGATACTCGACTAAACAGATCAGAGCCTCCTAACCAACTCTGTTTTCACCCATCTTTCCTCCCAGCTTGACCCCATTGGTTTTCCTGGCCCCAGGGTAGAGTCATGGTCTTGATTCCACTTCCTCCTTCTATTTCTTCCTGGTAGATGATGTACAAATTGCCTCCTTTAGTTATTGAAAGTCTCTCCTGTTCTGGATATTTCCTTCTGGAGGTAGTAATGAACAACTCTCTCTAGGCTGAGCATAGAACATGGCACATAGTATGTACTCAATTAAGATATGTGCTCAACTAATATCTTATTAACTAAGATGTTACGATATTGAAAAAATATTGGGTTGGCCAAAAAGTTCATTCCCGAACAAAATTTTGGCCAACCCAATATATAAGTGGTCCCTTAAGCAGGGCAGTCCCTTCCTCACGCTACACAATTCTAGGAGGAACCACTATATTTTATTCTGTGTTTTCGGCACCCCCTCAAGTTGTACTCTGGAATAGTATTGCCCTCAAATATCCTTTCTAAAGCAATTGTCACAGGATTTGCACAATCTTTTTTTTTAACATGGCCCTATAAAGAAAGAGTATCCTCTGGAAACCAGTTTTAAAAAGCAATTCCATTCCCATCCAAGAATTTTTCAAAATAGGAATTAGAGACACTTGAAAGTTTTACCTCCAGATTGAGCGAAAGAGGGAAATAAAATCCATGTACAGATATATTAACGCTTTATTACACTCTAAGACTTGTTATCCTATAGAATAAAACATGTTTGGAAGAATGGCAAAATATTTATAAAAAGTCTGCATTGGTATATTGGTTTTAAAAGAATTCCAAACCCAAATGATCTAGACATTAATCCAATATGTTTGATTTGGGAGTTCCTTGCCAAGGCTAGCCTCTACGCATGGATAAATCAAGTAAATTCACTGAACCAAATCTTTAGAATTGCTGTTTTCAGAGCTTCAGGAATCATGAAGGAATCTAGGTGTGTAACCACACAGGATTTTAGCCTAAGCCCTTTGCCAAAACATATAAATACTTTTAGACACTCCTTCCACATGTACAAGAAACCTACATAAATCTAACTTTTAGAGAATGCCTCTTTTAGATACCTTCACCTGGACATGCTTTACAAACTAATTCCATTTGATAGATAGAGACTAAACTGAGATTTTAAGCAAATGAAAGTTGGATGTGAAACCAAAAAAAAAAAAAAAAACCCAACATGGAAGGAATTTAAATTCACACACCTACACTCCTATAGAAAAAATGATTTCCTTATTCTTGAGCAGTATAGCTAAAGGCAGCCTTGTTTGAGTAGAGAAGTGTGCCTTCCAGCCAATCGTTTGCTAACCTAGTGGGTTAGTTGTCCCCGGAAATACCAGGGAATGTCACCAAATGTGTTGTCCTTTACTGGATTGGTTCTAAGTGGTGGACACTATATATAATTCAGTCTTGAGAGAAACTGTGCAGCTGCCCACATGTCTACATCAGTGTCCTTTTAAGGAAGACCAGCCTCTCTCCCTTGCTGAACATGTAATGACTTCCTATTGCCTTCCTGTTAAAGCTCAAAATCCTTGGTCTGAAAAAAAGAATAGATGTTGTGAGTTTGTTTTTACCATTTCAGTTTCATCTCTTGACAATCTCTCCACACCTGTGTGCACACACGTGTACACTTGTGCACGTACAGACACACACACACACTGCTGTCTAATCTCCAGCCATACGGAACTAGATTCAGTAATGGAAATGCCCCACCTTCTCTTCAACTCCACTCCTTTATATGCCATATATGCTGTCCTCTCTACTTGCAATAGCTTTCCTTTCCTCATGTATCTGGCTAATTTCTATCTCTCAGTTGAAATCCAGTCTGTACGGTGCCCCCTCTGGGAAGCTTTCCCTCACCCTCCAAGTCTAGCTTAGTTATCTATTCTTTGTGCTCCCACAGGGCTCTGTCAATACTCCCATTATAGCATATGTTTCTTATTTGGTTCTATTTCCCCCCCAAAAGCTATAAACTCTTTGAGGACAAGAACCTCAACCCTGGCTCAGTGAAGACATGTTGACTAAACAAACTCTAGTTGTTAACTCATCCCTCAACCATCCTTATACTTTCTTTTATTGCTGTCCACTTGAACAGGTTCCAGGAATTGATAATGGATGCATATTAAATAAATGGAGAATATTACAGAGAGTCATAATAACTAAATTCCAATTCATATGATTCTTGATTTCCTTTAGGTTTGCTCCTTGAGAATTTGAAACAACTGGAAAATCTGTTAGACCAATGCACACTATTCAGTGCAAACTATGTTCAGGTTATGGGAACATTCAGAAAGAGGTGTGGTTAATTTGGGAAGGTCTGATGAAAGTTTCTAGGTTTTGAGGAAAGTTATAGACATGGAAGAATACCAGTTAAGGGAAACAGATGCAGGATCGGTAGAATGCAGATAGATGGGAGGAAAAAATAAAGAAAACAAAAAAAACACCTGGTTTGCCTTCCTTGCATAGAACTTGCCGACAGCAAGAGTGACTTGGTGAGAAATCTACTGTGCTAACGAGCAATCTTGGGCAAGTCCTTACCCTTTGGCCTGGTGAGCCATCACGTCCTGGTGAACCAACACCTCCTGGGATGCCCTAGATAGATCAAGGACAGGAAAATGGCAGAGTTATCAAGTTATCGAAACGAATTACCCTCTCACCCAGCTTCCCTGAAATAAATCAAGGCCTCCAAACAAACCTGATAGCATAAAGGTGAGGCCTTCCTGACCGAGCATTCAGAACCCAGAAGTTATTCACCAGAAGGGAAAGAAGTGTCCCCCACCAGGGCTCACCCAGGGGAGCATCAGTAGGACCTAAGAGGGGGCTGAAGTAAATGAATACATGCTAATGGTCCTTAGTGTAGAAACCACTCATTGCCAAGATCCCAACTGACTTCAGAAGCTACAGTCTGCTTTCTTCTTGGCAAAGCTCTAGAGCTGAGAGCAACGGAATAAAAAAATAAAAGTAATACCTGTGGGCCAGGAAGTCCAGTCGCTCCTTTCTCTCCTTTTTCGCCTGGCATTCCCTGAATAACCAAAAGGCCATGGGGTTAAGTTCACATAGGTAAACAGGTAAATTTTCAGTCTTTTCTTTTTCTCCACTGACTCTTTTAACATTTCCAACATTAAATGGCTTTCACACTAACATCCAAATACAGCGTATTTCACTTTTCACATAAGCTGCACCACCTAGGTAAGCATGCCTACAGACCAGAACGTTTATATAGCAGAATAGTTTAAACACAGTGTATACAGTCTGATATGGCTAAGCTCATACTGTAAATATGTGAGGGGAGTTGAATATTTCAGTATTATTTATAGTTTAGATTTTAAAGCTTATATCTCTCTATATTTTTGTTTTGTTTTGGCTAGAAATTTATAAGAATGGAAAAGCAAACACAGTACCTGACAAGTAGCAGGACCTCAACAAATAGTTAGTAGTAGTAATAGTGGTAGTAATTATACAAACTGGCATGTTAATGCTTTCTAAGATGTGAAAATAACTCTGGAAAAGACTTCTTAGCTAGGGAGACACAATCATATGCACAAAAAGATTGCTAAAAATGTGCTTAAAAGCATCATGCTTCAAATACTAATGACAGAGATTGGTTTTTATTCCTTAAACCTAGATCCATCTAGTAAGATCACTGAAAAATCAGTGAGTGGGATTGAATTTGTTTTCATTGGTACAAACAACTTATACAAAGAAATGTGGCTGTAGAGAGTATACTGTCTATAATCTAAAACTCAGAGCACCACACTTTGAGGCCTGTCGAGATAAAGATCATAATTAAACGGCTTTCCTGAAGGTATTTCCACAATTACTACAAATGCAAAATGAGTAACTTAAATTTGTATAACATTTGTCACTTTCTAGATTTTATCACACCCCCTAAGGACTTAGTCAAACAAGATAAAGGGCCACACACGTCAAGCCCTGCTTTCTTTTCTACAAATTATCTGTGGATATACCTACTCCCTAAGCACATATCTGTTTGTAAAAGACCCCCTTCATTGAACAAAACATTGGCTAATGAATGAAGTCTCAATTATTACTTTCATTTCTCAGTTCTTATTTTTAGGGGTTGGAAGAGGCTGAGGATCATTATCAAGGCACAGAAGACAAAAGTTCATTCTATATAACTCATGGAGAAGTGGTAACGATAAAACCCATCTGAATGTTTACACACAACTCACAGGCATTCCTTGAATGGACAGACCACTTGGTCCTTGGGGTCCAGGAGGACCTTGAGGTCCTGGAGGGCCTGTTTCACCCCGAGGGCCATCTGGTCCCTGGAAGGCAAGAAGTCATCCCAAAGGTAAGTTAAATCCTCTGGTACCCAGAAATATCTGCTACCCAGATATTTCTACTTAACGGCGTTTATAATTTATTTCATTAACTAATTTTTCCTAAGACAGAAAACACTCATAAGATAACAAGACACCAAGCCTCAGATGATCCACCTCCCAGGCAAAGTGTCATCAGTAAACCAAGAGTAAACACACATTAGTTGCTGCAACTTCATTTATTTATTTTTGCTTTACATAAAGAGGAACATTGTGCCAATTATGTAACTAGACGCCCACACTCCACAACAAATCCAAAAGATATAAGTGATACAAGACCACCCTCTTGGTTTGTGAAGGTGCACACCATCCAGCCCAACTATAGTCTCTCCCCCTTCACTACTGTGAACTATCTATCTCTGGGGCACTCCTCTGCGTTTACTGAGGACATTGCCTCCCCTGTAGTGTATGAGATGGAGCCAAGACATCAAGTATCTGCCTGAGAAAATGTGTCACAATCTCAAAAACTAAAACAAAACAAAAAAACAAGATATCTTATGGTCTGAGTTTTGAGCTGTGTAGTACCTGATTCATTATCTTCAGCCTTCTTTCACTGACTTCTCCCCTGTAAGCCTGCCCCCACCCTCCGCATTCGCTCTTACCTTGCTCTACTTGTTTCCAATTTTCTAGTAAAACAACATTGCAATGTTCTCTTCTCCATGAATAAATACCATGCAAATTTAAAACGTCACCATATTGAAGCAGTAAGTCAAGCAAGATGGTTGGAGCGATGATTCGGAGCAACATGGTGAAAATGAGATAGTAAATTATAAAGGGCCTTGAATGTCATGCTAAGGAGGGTGAATTGTATTCTCAAGGCAATCACACATGACTGCAGGTTTTAAGAGTATGATATGATCCAGTATAACTTTAAAGAAATGAATCTGGGGGCAGATGTGAAGAATCAATCAAAAAATCAAGCCACTGGAGCCAGAAGAACAATTAGAAGATTTGCCAAAAGCCAGGTACAGGATGATGGGGCCTGAACTCAGTGGCTGGGCTTCTGCCATCCCTTAGGCCACCTTCGTGCAAAGTAGAAAAATGTGTGCCTTGACATGGATTGGCACCAACTTGGTCCTCTTAGTTGGTGCCTTTGTACAGTGTACAACCTGAACCACCACATTTGCTGGCCTTGGGCAGTGAGAATGGAAAATAGAGCTGTGTGTTTGATTATACAGTACATGGTGGGAGGGGAGGAGGAGGCTAAAACCTGAGAAATTAGCTGGAGGACTGCTGCCTAGTTGTGATTCAGTGCTCCCTCGATACATCTTTTTTGCAGATAGAGGAAAAGAAGACTATATGAGCAAGAACTGCCTAAGCAACTAAACCACTTGGAACACTGACACCCTATTTCTGACCCAGAAACCTTTCTTTTCACTTAAGTTACTAAATTTTTTTTTGATGAAAAAACACAAGCTTTTAAGAATAAGGGAAAAGGCTTCGACACAACTTTCATAAAAACATAAGGAGCTTTAAACTACAAAGGGTGAATATTACTTAACTACAAAATTATATTATGGCTAGTGATGTGAGAGGGAGGAAGAATATTACCTTTGGGCCCAGGTCACCTTGTTGGCCCTTTGGTCCTCGGAGTCCTGGACCACCCTGGCAAACAGATGTTAAGCATTAGCACAAAGACAAATCTGAAAGCAATATATTTCATTCATTGTACTTAATAATATGGATTATGCAATTCTCATTTTGTATAAAGGCCAACACATTGTGTAATGGTGTATGTGCATCATGATCCTGAACGGGAAATCTACCCCCCAGATTCACCTTTTCCTGCTG